GATATCCGGAAGTAACTTCAAAGTTTTCAGGATGTTGTCCCGGCAGGTGTCGTCCAAAAGATCAGATTTCAGTGGACTCCTGGAAAAATCCAGGACCAAAGTCCTGACCTTGGATATCAGACCCCAGAGTCCACCGTCATCAATCTCTGAACCATCGGGCTCGGGCTCATACAAATCTTGTTCGGTTGCCGCGGAACTCCACTCAGGTTCGGCGTCCCTGACCCCGCTTGATTGGGCGAGTTGGCTCCCGTGGCCTCCGTCGTTCCGATTCTTTCCGCGAAGTGCGGCTCTGACGGCCAAGTGTATGCCGTGTGCGTAACACGTGTGATGATAAAAAGGCTGATCCCCGAGCTCTAACGCCATGAGCTTGCCGACTTTAATCATCGCACGAGCCGCGTCGGAAGTCAAACCACATACATCGCTCAGTTTGAGATCGAATATCTTGAGAGAATCCCGGATCGCCTCAAGGAGAAACTCTGCAGTGGCATGTTCGCGGAATCGGAGCAAGAGATCGACTGAGTTCGACTTGAGAGACGGTACTAGCATACTTGTGCAAAGGGTCACGCCTATGAAACGCTTCCGTTTCCACGTCCACTCGTCGGCTACCAGTGTGAAAACGGTCCCCTTTTTTTTCAACTCTCTGAGGTCGTTCTGGATGACCTCGACGGCACTCAGGTACTCCGCATCCACGCTTTGGCTGGCAATGTGGGCATTGACTGTGCCGAAATTGGCCAGCCAGAAGAGAATTCTCATTATAGGATGAGAGAAAGCGATAAAAGGAATATTGAGAACCGTGACAAGGGCCGCGATGATCCATCTCTTGACCGTGTTTGTCAGATCGACAACAGAAGGTCTCCTGGTATCGCCATTGGACTCCGAGAAATCGAATCGTTCGTGTTTCCGAAGGTGTTTCCTCATAGTAGTTACGCTGAGATTGTAGGCGGAGACTGTCTTTTTACACCGGTGGCAAGTTGCTTTTTCTCTCCCTCTACTCGTATTTGAACAAGAAGTGAATTGATCCTTGACTTGATCATCTACAGGAACGTGGAAAGATCGTCACGAGTAAAATTTGAGTGATCGAGGGTGGAATATTAGAAAGTGATACTATCCAACGCGGCGTGGTTCGAGGACCGATGAATTCAGTACTCAGGCCACAATTATCAACCATGTACAACTTACTAGTCAAAGCCGCCACCGACGGAGGGAAGCCGCGTGGTGAGTCGGTCGGCAGGTCCTGCACAGAATCGAGCCCATCCACTTCGCAATCTGTACTGGCTGAATACCCGCCTGCAATTGAGGTACCTCGCGACTCGCGACCGTTCATTTGTTCGTGGGCCACTGCGGGAAGGAATACTTCGCGCGTGGCCGAATGCTCTGAAGCGCCACTTGAATGCTCCTAGCTCCCTCAAATCTCCGCAATCCCCACGTAGCGGGACAAAATATGGATAAATTTACCTGACACAACCGTTTCGTCATCGTAAAGCTGCTCCTGCTCCTCGGTGTTTGGAGCACCGATCGCGTTATGTACCAATTCCAATAGATCGTCCATTCTCCTTCAGGAGCTCTCGGAGCTTGCTTCGAATTACGATTCTGTAGCGAGAGGTCAAGGAACACAGAACACAGCGATGCAAGACACGAGCAAGGTCTAAAGCAAGCTTCATTGTCTTTCCGGCATTCGATCCTTTGACTCACTCAGCGTTTATGCTTACGCTTACCCACTTAGACATCGGAGTTAGGCCTCACATGGAGGTCGGAGGGGGTATTCAAATCCAAAATATCTCGAGAGCCAAGAGGTATTTCCCGCCTGAGTTCTCTCCTTACGCACATTCTCGTAATCCCCCGAACGTGCATGAGAACCTTCCGGACACGAATTGGCTTCAAAGCGACGGTGCCGCCAGGAACGAATCCGGATAGCTAATGTTCTCTCACTCTGCTCCCTGACCCTGACTTATATAGGTCGGGAATGTGCTTTTCTACAAGCTCATTCTATGAAGGAAGTTCACCAGCGGCAGGGATCGAACCCACGGCGCGTCCCGCGCGAGAGTCGTCTGTTCACCAGGATGTGTGACGAAGTGACGGACGCACTAAGCACTCGACCACTGGCCGGTAGAGAGTTAAGACGGAGCGGACGCTTCCTACGCGAAAACTGAAAGGCCGCAGGGGTCTCCAAGGGCCACAAAATGGGAGCCTCTCTTGTCCCCATGCTGTTCCATCGTTGCAATGATCATTAGATACTGCTCCGAACAATATATGAGCCCTCGTAGCCATGCGCGCAGTCGGTCTGCATTTGTCATGGATGCCTTCCCTCAGGAACGCTCGCTCGAGTATGCCATTCCGTCGTTCCAGGAGAACAACGTTCCTGAGAAACGTGTGCGTTAGCACACCGTTCCATCGTTCCAAAAAAGCCGATCCTCCGTTCCTCCGTTTCTCGCTGTTTGGATGTCTACTGGAAACAGACTCCGTAGTAAGTTCTCGATTAGACCCAAAACTGTTGCCCGAAGTAAACGTATTCAAGATCTGTTTCCATGGAGAATGGCCGATAAGCTACGCGCCGAGGGTTTCCCCCTGTATTTACAATTATTGGCTTCACTCCCCCCTTCTAGTCAATAAAGGGCGCTCATTCATTCAATTCATTCAAGCTTATCAAAAATCCCCAGTTCTACCGGTGTACCAAGCACATCGAACTAAAATATTTCTTCATCAGAGATCATTACGAACGAGGAGAAATCGACGTCACCTACGTGCCATCAGAGTATCAGCGAGCTGACTGCTTGACCGAGGCCCTCAACAGGACGGTATTTCTGAGACAACGAGATCTGTCTAACATGACTACATGGAGATCTTAAACATGGAGCTCACAGTCCTAATCGCAATACTAATAGGTCCGTCTGAACAATACTTTTCGTATTCGGATTGTGGTGACGATTGCAAGGTGCTGGCTCAATCCTGCATAATCAGAAGAGGCATTGGTGATTCTTTCTTCGTAGCCTGCATTGACTCGGAGGAATGTGAGAACGAAGCCGATGATGAGACTGCGTGCATCTCAGACGATAAGGCCACTTTAGGTGGTGGGCTATTATGGCCGTGGTTCAAACAAAGACCAATGCCCGTTCCTCCGAAGCCAGAGCTAAACAATTGCAACAATTGGGAAATCATCATCGCCATACAGTCCTCGGCTTCACTAGCGCTAACATCGTTTCTCATAATAAGGGAACTCATGAAAAGAATATCGAGGCAAAGATCTGAGAGAGTGACTAGCAGTGTGGTGGATAATCCGTATCTACCCACCACAGAGGATATTCCTTCTGATCAACAAGAAGATGAAAGTTCTGACTCAATTAATCAACCGCTAGTACAGAACTAACACGAAGTAAAAACGCCGCCAGAAAGTCAAGGTCATTCTCATCCAAGAGACAGTACGAAAGCGCGTGTTCACGCCTGAGACTGGCGAGGGCGAACCAGACCTAACGCTATAGAGAGGGAGGGAAAGAGAACACAAGGCGGTCAATTTAAACTTTACTGTAACACCCAACATCCAGCAAAACGACCCCTCGATCTTCTTAAAACAACCTTGATCTGTTCAAGAATCTCCTCGGGCTTCTTCCCCTCTTTCTCGGCATCTTCAACGAGATGTGCAATGTCCGCCAGACGGAAGAACAAGAATTGAGTTTCTTCGTCCGCCTTATGTCTGGCCTCTAGAAATCGCTCATTCGATTCCTTAGAGTTTTTCAACATCTCTTCCAGTTTCTCGATCCAATACAGATGATTTCGAGTGCTCTGTTCACAGTACACATGAGTGCAGACAACCTCCGGGAAGGTCAAGCTCTTCAGTTCACTGATTCCTGGATAGTTTTCACGCAGAGGATTTGTCCATGTGATCTCTGCACACTTCGCTGCAATCTCACGTGGGAGTTTGTGAAACTCCTGGATTTCCTTGATGTAGTAGTAAAAATCTTCAACAGAGCGCTGGAGCTCTTCAGGGGTCTTCACGTCCTCAGAATAAGAAGAGTTGCCCTCTGCCATTTTGATCACAGGACTGATGAACGATAACTAAGATCCTCAAAAACCAGTACGGCAGCGAGACAGAATCTGGGAGAGGATGTGATCTGACCTCTAGTTCTAATAACCTATGAGGAATGTTTCGAACTGGCTGGCGCATCTCGTTACTAAGTAACTGGAACCCCGCCGAGTCTAGACGACTAAGGGTCAGACACCAAGGGGCTTTTCTTTTTTTATTCTAGAGGTAGGAAAATGCCTTAAGGCACGCCCGGCACGACTCCGTTTGGAGCCTCACCCGGGGAGTGTGGGGCTCGCACCCACTAAAAACCTAGCCCTCTATGCAACACAGGGAGCCGGGAACTGGAAAAGAGCCGAGGCCGCCATCCCGGAGTAATGCATCCAGCTTCCCCGCTGCTCATCTTGTTTCTCTTGTTCCGCCATTTCTACGGGTTGTGCTTCTCGGCGGCTCTCTCTTTCTTGGAACTTCTCATTTTCTTCGACTTGCCATTTCTTTCTTCTTCATGATATTATCGATTATCTGCGTGTTCCGTGTCCACTCCTCTTCGCTCTCGAGCATTCGGTCCAGGATCTCCGGCA